ACGAAGTGGGCAGTGGAAAGTTGCACAGGCAACCAAAACAAAACAGATGACAGTAGCAAGTGGGTGGAAGGAACATTAAACAAGCTTCATCTGGAAAAATGAAAGCCTATTGGAACAATAAGAAAACCAATAAAATTGACTTCTCTTTCTTAAGTCTTCCATCTATGGGAAAGAATTCCATTAATAATAATATAATAAAATAATAATAATAATAACTAATTAATAATCAATAATAATAATAATAAATAAATAATAATAGGAAGAAGAAGAAGCAAAGCAACTAACTAGATGATTTGTCGGGGTCAAGTTATTTATCACAAATACTTTGAAGAGTACACCATCCCTGCCTCCCTAATCTACCAAACACTGCCCGCCCTCGTTTCCCGGCTCAGCCCCACCCAACAGTCCCTTCCACTCCCCTCTCTTTGCACACCTTGCCCGGCCACAAAGGTCCGCGTCTTCCTCCTTCGCCCAGCAAGAATGCCTACATGCATTATGGGTTGTTTAATTTCCCATAACAAAACGTTTGGGACGTGACCAAATTTTCAGTAAAAATATATTGATTTAAATGTAGTATGATATATTAATACGAATTATAATATGTAATTCAAAATATCCCCTCAATAAGTAATGCGTAAAGAAAAGATGACATGACTTTCCTCTTTTTACAAGAATCAATGGACCAAAACCTCGTAAGACGCATACAGAATTACCTTCAAGTGCGCATCAAAGGGACTTAAGAGAGAGACACAAGTGAAGGTACGCAGATATTGGTACTTTTCTAGTTCCATTGATGTATGCAACCCGCAATACAAATTTCTCCGCAAATCTGCTTTACCATAGTGCATAACTCGAAAACGATGCATCTTCGACCCTTAAACCCAGTTTTTTGAATCCCTGCGAGAGTCACAAGTTATGTTTTCTACAGCATTCCACAAAAGGGGACCTTTTGGATTTTCTATTTCATTTTTTATGGTACAGTTACTATTTTTATTGGTTCCGTAGCAACGATTGCCAGTAACGCTGAAAGTTGAGTTCCAGTGTGGAGCTATTTTTACTTTTAAAATAATCATTTTTTTTTAAATTATTTGACATTACAAGTAATTGCGGAAATTATTTGAGGGCCTTCTATTAAATGTTTAAAGTTTTTGCTCTTCCGGATACTCTATTCAGGAATTTCCGCTTCATCTGGCAGGAAAGAAGCTGCATACGTTGCCACAACGGAACTTTTACTAAGGTATTTAGCATAATAAAAATCCACTTAAACTAATTTTGTAACCTTCATGTTCCATTTACAAATTAATAAGTGCTGGAGCACACGGTGAGAATGTGAGGAAGATTGGGGCAACATTTGGGCAAAATGTTGGGGGTACATGAATGGGATAATTTGGGGGAACATCTGAGAACATACGGGGAGTATGTGATAAACTATGATGAGCGGGTGTAGAAACATGTAGGGGATCATACTGTGGATGTGCGGGGTCCGTGTCAGAAATTTGTGGTGAGCATTATCATATTTACAAAAAAGATAATTACGAACTTATCTAAATCTACTTCATCATACATTCTAAATTATTCCAACACCCAATACTATTTACATTATAGGGGAATGGATAGGGGGGCGAGGGATTATGTGCGAACATGCCAAGAAATGTGAGGGAACACGCAGCGAACAAGCGAGGGAAATGGGGAGCATGTAGGGAAACATGTGAAGGGAAGTGGAGTGAAAATTTAGCCCTTTTACCCCTAGCTATTCTTATCTCCTTAGCCCCTACTCCGTATATGAGGGTGGTCGTAAACTAGCGAGATACCATAAATCTCTGTACAATTAAACCGTCGCGTTAAGAGGCTTGACATGGCATGCCTACAATGCTTCAAAAAACCAGTTTAAGTTCTTGTCTGAAGTTGGGATGCAGTTTGAAATTATTTTCAATTTTAAAACAATGATTTACATAGTGCGGAATGTTCGAACGGGATTTTTATATTATGTGGGCACATTTATATTATAATGAAGTGCATTTTGAAATGGAATATTTACGGCTGCTCAAATGTGATTAGGCAAATGTTGGAAACCATCGCTTCACCAGTTTAAAAGTATTTAGTAGAACACACATAATTTCATATATAAAGATTAATTTTTTTCTCTGATTGGTTCAATAATTCACTTGAACTTTCAATGAATGTGTCAGATAACTGTCAGGATCTTAATGTTGTTCATTCTAAAATATTTATTGATGATGCGATGAAAATATAACAAATCAAGAAATCTTTACAGCGAAACGTAATACAATACAACAATTTGATTGTTTCTTCTTTGATAGTTGAAACCAAAATAATGCAAATTACACCTAATTGAATTACTCATTATTTTACCCATTAATTATGTTTTGAGCACACGTAATTAAATATATCTACCTGAAACTCGTGCGTTGAGCTATTTCCCATGAGTCGTGTAAACAGAAGCTTCTCTTATTACTCCCAACAATTTACTTCATAGTCCACACAATAGAAGTGTTTCTAATTTTAACCGAGCAATATAGATGAAATACGTTCCCCATTCTTTTGCAATGAGACACCGTATGACAGTCGTATGACTAATTTCTGTCGCTAGCACAACTCATTTGAAAACAAACTAAATCAGCAGGTTCTGGAAAAACCTTGAATTAAGTCTTATTGCAATGAAAGTATCGCTGCTTTACTCATTTTTAGTTTGCAGTAATCCGTAATTGTTTGAATTCGCGAACTCCGGTTTGAAAAATTTAGGAGCAACCTAAGAGTGTGTGAATTGGTTGCCACCTTGGTTGAATTTGAAGAAAAACAGCTTTATGTTAATTATTATATTTTAATGTAGAGCACTCTAATATTATCTTAAGTGTATTTAAATTATTTGCAAATTATAAGTGAGTGCGTTTTCATTTAAATTACGTACACGTGAGTTAATTATTTCGTAAGTAGTAAAAATAATAGGTTGCTTAAGTGTCTTGAAAAATGTTCATATACTTGAATGTTAGGTTTATTGTGACTTCCCATTGCCTAAATTTTGGTTAATTTTTAGCATAGTTGCACTTCTACACACATTTGAATTAAACATATTTATGGAAGAAAATACGCAAATAAAAACCATGAATAAGCTTCTAATTCTAATATATTATTATACTATATAGAAGCTTTAACCAGAGTTCCAATCAGAGTTAAAATTAGTTTAAATTCCATACACAGACACAAACCAAATTTCATTGTTTGTTTTCTGTGATAAATCGATCCGGGGAATTCAGGCATTTATTTTACCTAACAAAGGGAGCAAAAGGCATGTAAACAATAAAAAATCACAATGTAAAATGAATTAATACAAATAATTACAAGTAATATTTAAAATGACTCAAATTTTCATTCTAACTAAAATTTACATTAGCCATCACATTGAAGGACACAATTTATTCTGTAAACTTGACTGCACATGACAACCAGATTTTTTGCACACTCAGTCTATCCCACTGATTCGGTGTAACCAGTGGAAAATATTTGAGTCACGCATTTTCAATAACAAGAAAAATGTCGATACAATGACTACGAATTTGTTTCAATCGCGACGCTGTCTCTACGAAATGCTATTGCGGACTCTCCTTGTAACCCTGAAATGGGATAAATGATTCGATTTCTGCACCTGTGTAACGCCAGCACTGAGCAACATCGTGTATCATGGACAGAGAGTTCTGTCCTCGAATGGGATCAGTAACCGTTCTCAAAGTAGGATGGGATTACTCGTGAGCAAAAACAGCCTGTCGGTATCAATGAAAGAAATTAATAAATGTTGACTGATATCATCTTCTTTTCTCATTTACATTTTAACACCTCCTGGCCCTGGAACATCTGCTTTGAGATAGAGAGAATACTCGCCTGTGCCTTCGTGTTTTATCGGCTTGCACGTATGCATGCAGATTGATCGACATCGGTACCAGAAAAAAAGAAAAATAATGAAGAAAAATGACAAAACAAGGGGAATTTCTAAAATTGATATCAGAAGCCAAAATATGCAAATAATTCAAAATTAATTTGTAAAACAACTCCAGAGAACAATAAAGCGATAAAGGTACAACTCGCGAAACGTGCAATCAGAAAACTACGACCCATAATCATACCAGTTTGTTATATACTCGTAGAAATGTGAAAAGAAAACACCATGTCACTGGATGTGCCTCATCTGGGTGTATATCTAGTTTCTCCACGCATTGATGCATGCACTCTGTGATTGTTACTGCCGCTCTGAGGCGGGGCGCACGCGTTCACCACCACCCCAAGGGCGGCCGTGACTGTCCTCCTAAGGCCGTGCCCTCGATCGCGCGCCGTGGCAGCGCCAGCGCCGTTTACGAGGAGGCCGCGCCGCACGCGCGGAGGCGATTCAATTCCGCCGCGGCCCTCTCCAAATGACGGGCGCGGGGCGAAGTTGGTAACGACACACTAACAAAGGGACTTTTCCAAATTTGTGGGTCATAAACGCCGGTTAGGGCCCCAAAATGGTAGGACGGGCGGTACCACCCGCGCCTCAGAGGCCACGGGGCGAGTCGTGTGAAGGAGGAAGGAGGGCGGGGCGGGGAAGAGGGAGGGGCGCGGGGGAGGCTTGAGGTAAGCGATCGAATGTGGTGGAGGAGTGAGGCATGGCGGGGGATGATAGGCGCGATCCTCTGGTTTCGGTGCCGATGGAGTGAGGAGGCGGAGCGGCGGCGATGGTCGAGGGGGGTGTAGCGCGGTGGGGCGGTGGCGGTGGAGGCGGCGGGCGCGCGGCGCATGCGCGGTGCGGCGCGCGGTGTCGCGTGTGCGAGCGGCTCGCGCACCACGCTCGCGCGTCCGTACATATTGGATAATCCGGCAGCGCGGCCAGCATTTGCTATTGTTGAGTGGTGAGTGGCAGGTGTGAGCAGCGGCAGCACACGGGACCCCCGCTCGAAGGCACAGAGCCAGCCCAACCGCAGGCAGCGCCCGGCCGCAGGCAGCCCCCGCGCAAGCAACCCGCAGCCGACGGCCCCGGCGCAGAGCGGCAGCAGCAGAAGCGGCGGAGGTTCTCAGTCAGCGGCGGAGCGGCGCCCGGTCCACGTGCTGCGCGGCGCTGCGCTTCCTTCCACCTCCGGCGACGGTGAGTCCACGGCGCCGCGGGCCTCGCGTGCGCGCCCATGTTCGTTTGCTTGCACGCGTTCTGCTAGGGATGAACGGGTCGTGCTCCCCAAAGTGATTTCGGCGATAAGACTTTGTCCATCATACAGAGCTGTCTCTCTGACTAAAAAAGACACCTGTTTAACGAGTTTGTGGGCAAAGAGGTGGGGTAAATGAGACAGAGCAATGTGTTGTATTTTGTTTAAAAAAGGAAGAATTCAAAATGTGTATTCAAGAAAATTGACGAATTGCTGTCGAAATCTTTGAATTTAACCCAAAGTTTGATAAAAGCTTCTGTAGCGACAATAACAAAGACAAGAATCTAGTGTATCAGATAATGCATTCCTCTCATTCACTATAGATATATCAACTAAAATTGGCTGAGAAACATAAATTCTCCATCCTAACATAAATTTCGGGTTCTACGAGCTAGGCTGCACAAACGCGACGTTGGGAAAACAAAAACAAAAGAAAAAAACGTACAACACTCGAACTCTTCTTCGTCGACAAGACAGCTTAATTAAAAAACTTTTGCCATCAAAAGTTTTCGTAAAATCCCTGGCAAAGAATCTCAAAATTTAACGTCACAACTTAGCCGTCGGCGGCGGTCTCCTTGTTCGCGCGCGCTTAAGCGGCATCGGAAACAACTTACGCGCGGATGGCGTCTCCCGCGCGCGGCGGCGCCAGTGAGTGATGGGTGGCTGGCGGAAGCGCCGCTGTCAGATATTGTGTTTAATGTGACAACAACGGAGAGCAAGGAATGAACTGTGTTGTACTTTCAATACAAAATATATCGCAACTTCAAAATAATAATAATAATAATAATAATAATAATAATAATAATAATAATATATGCTTTACGTGTAATAGTGTAATATAATTGGAACCATTTTAATAATAATAAATTAACATAGTTTCTATACATAAAAGGCTACGATACGGAATTTACACTGGCAGATACGCAAAACCCTCAAAGTCCCAACCACTTACTCGTAAGTGAAACCAACTCTCACCAAAATCTGTAACTTCTTTGACTTCTAATGCGCATAGTACTATATAATCAAGGAGGTATGGGTAGTAGGGTATGGGATGTAAAACCATAGGCCGTACATCAGAGCGTCGGTTTTCCTCCGCAAATGTTTTTTTAAGGACGTATTGAAACTCCCTGGTCGTTCCGAGGTGCAGGACATTGTTTAATTTCCAACAGCCCATGTTATGTGCAAATTGAGATACCCACAGATTCTGGATTTGCTCCTAAAGGAAACTGGTAGCAACCTGGATTATATTATTTAACATCTTAAATCTTGAATTTACTGAATAATAACAATAACAATAATAGTGGGCCCTGTGGCGTAGACGGTTGCGACTGCCGTCGCCTGCGCCGAGGAGGCTGCGAGCTCGACTCTTGCGTAGACAGGGTCGTATTTGTGAATGTCCCTTCACCCATCACCATCATCCTAAAAATCTTTTAAAATCCCGTAAAATCTTGTAGTGAGGAATAATCTAAAAAGCTGATCCTGGTAAAATTACATACGTTAATCGTGTAGCGTGATTAGTAATGACTTATACGCCAATAATAATAATAATAATAATAATAATAATAGTTAAATAAGTCGAAAAGAAATCTGCAATTGGTGTGGCCTGAAGCAATTTTTTCTGCCCAGAAACAAACGAAAGGCCATTTCCGCATTTGCTTTTTGAGAAACTGGGCGAAAATCAGGATCGAGACGGGAACCCTGCACCCAGGCACAATTTTCATATATCAGTTCACTTGATTGCAATTACATTCTAGAGCAACTTTCATTTGAGTTTGAGGAAATTTAATCTCCAACTTTACATTTGAATTGTATTATGTGTAAGTTAATCACAATATATATTTTGAGTAACCAGAATCGTATCATTTTACGGCATTAATTTCTATTTTAAAATGGATTGAAATTATTCTACGATCAAGTACATTGAAAAAGAAATAGTCACTAGGCAGTCAAGGCTACTCTAACTGTAAAAACGCAACACTTACCGAAATCGATTGTGATAGGTAAAACAGCATATAAACTAGTGGGAATGCATGGACTAGCGAAACTTTTCCTCTTTTTAGTATTATTACTCAATATTATTTTTTAAAAAAAGTGCATGGCATCAATTAAAGGTCTACTATTGAATGAATTTATGCAGAACAAATCCAAATCACAAGATACATTAAGGTTGAAAAATGGCTTGGAAAGTTAGGACATGTCTTAAAATTTCGAACATCAATGATGCACGCCGAAAGTTACATATGAGTTTGATGGGGCTGTAGAAAAGTATTACATTTTCATTACATAGAAAGTAGAAACCATCCAAATTATTTTTTCAAGTCGTTCAGTATTATGTCTCGATGTATAATGAAATAAGGAAGGGATAGACATTTTGAAACAATACAATCATTGTTAACTGCAAACTTAGAGTTCAAATATTTCTGAAAATGTTTTATATATACCAGTACGTGCACTTCTGTAGGAAAATATGACAAAGAATTTCTGCTATTCACCTTAACTACAAAACGTAGTACACTACGCATTTACAACCACTAAATTTGATTTGTAAATGTCGTATGTGTCAAACCAGGGGCAAGATATTGCGTTTTACTATACTCACCTACATTTTTATTTATAAACACTCATCGAACTGCAGAAAACGTGTTATAATAGCTTCTCTTCCAGCAACCTTACACTCGCAAGTTTTATCGAAGAATAAATGTCGAAAGCTTTTATGAAGTAAATTATAACTCACGAAATTAAATGATAAACTAATGACAGCAGATTAGTTTTTATTCTATTGATTTTATGATTTCATTAGAAGTTACTATTTATGCAATAAATATGTTAATAATAATAATCAATAAAACATCTGAAGCCCATTATCTTCATTTAATGCGAAAATCATGAAATTGAGTTGAGTGAAACGCTATTCAATTACGTAAATAGTTCATTAGTAATACTGATTTAAAATATAACTTCGTTCAATAGTATGCCCTGTTAATATTGAGTTAATACATTTATTTTTTCATTCATTTAATACAAATATCAATGATATTTTGACTATTTTTACTATGAACATACGTGGATATGTGTACTTAAATCACCACGAAAATTAACATTTGCCACGAATTTAAAAATGAATTTAATTAATGTGGGGTCGTTCAACAAGTCGCTTTCAGGCATTCTAGAAACTCCCATTTATAGCGTATGTAGTGACAGACATTAATATATTATTTTTGTTGAACTGAAATTTGATATTCTAAATAATATTGCCACCTCTCAAATGGGCAATATAAAACAGGTGCCATCGTGCATCCGACAGTTCTGACATTTTAAATAAGTAATATGAAATCAATATCAAAATGTTAATTTTCAGTCTAATTAATAAAACGTGACCCAGCGGTCTCTGTAACACAGGCTCTGTCCTCCGGCGTCGTCACTGCGCCGCAAACCCTCCCACGCCTCAACGACGCGCGATCAATAGATCTCGAATTAGCGATATAAGGTTGTAAATGTTTATCAAACTGGCTGAACAGCCCTTCGTTCCGACCCGCCGCCGCCGCCGCCGCCGCCGGACGCCCGCCGAAGCAGTTGCAGAGGTCGCATTACTCTTAATTCTTAACGCGAAAATCACTTTCATCGGCACCGGGCCGGGCGCTCCGCGCGTCTGCGCCTGGCGCAGCGCTTTCGCCGGCGCGGCGTCCTAAGTGCGTCCGTCGCCCATTGGCAGCCCATCACATCGCGTTGCGTCGCGCCGCGCGCCTGCCTCTTCCGCTGTGCTCACCCCGGGTGCCGCCTTTGCTTGCTGCTCCTCTGACTAACCTCAGCGAGGAGCAAGTGGGCAAGTGTGCCCTCTCCACGAAGCTAAATTAATAAAGGACATTCTCTTGAGATGAGTGGCTAGTTGAATTATGTTCGGACGATCGCATCGTGTAATTTCTTCCCCTTCTTCTTAATGGTCTCCTTTAGATCGCAGAGAACAATTGGTCTCTCATTTCTCCTCTATCAGTTATCCTCTCAGAATTTCTCTGTTCCTTCCTTAGCTTCCTCCCAGTTGGTTACTACTTTTTTTATTTAAATACTTTCAATTCATCGATCAATTAAAGTAATTATTGCCCATGTTTTCCCGAATTTTCTACCAGCAGCTGCCTCTACTCTACCTCCAAGCCCTTCTCCCGGCCTCCTATTCTCGTAGCTTCCTCTTACTTCCAGGCTTGGCTGCAGCCTCACAGACGTCCATAAGACGTTAAGTGCCTTTCTATGAATTCCTGCTCCCCATGTATTGTGGCTTCGCACATTGCTAGTGCGAAACCAAGTTGAATCAAGTTATGCGCTCGTGTTTGCTGGAATCAAGAAAAAAAATTCTATTTTAATTTTTTTACTCTCGACTACTTCTCTCGATAGAATATTGACTTTCGACAGAATGCTACTATATGTTCAAGTAGAGTTGTAAAGGCCGACACACCCAACTGCTATAATTAATTACTTACACATCTTTACAATAAAAATGGTATTTCTTTTAATAAAATATTCCTGTTTTTCATTTGTGATACTCTTGTGGCTATGAGGTAAGAATACTGATGACGAGGAAAACTTTGAAACGATCAGCAATGTTCATGCATTAAAGATATTACAGGCAATTCACTAATATTGATTCACAGCAGTTCTGACAATTTCTCGAAGAAAATGGATTAGACTGTTTATTGAAGTGATGATGTAATGAAGATTAAAAATACGAATAAATGATATTTGAGCCTGTGATAAGTTATATTGACGCTAATTCTTGCACATTCAACTCGAATCAGTCATATCAATCATGTCGAAGTATAATTCCATTATTTTTAAAAATTATGATTATCTGTCGTTCCCTACATAGATCGATTGCACCTACAGTTTAAAAAAATAAAATTTTGATATTAAAAATCTTGTAATCCTTTCTGAGAATTATTATGAAATGAATGTT